GACTACATCACTGGGCGTATATCCCAAGGAAGCCACTAATAAGAAGAAAGTCTCTATATACTCCGAACTTTTTGTGATAGCTAAGAATTAGAAATAAAATAGATGCTCATAATAAGAGATGGTTAAGCAAACTGTGGCACATGAATGCAATGGAATATTACTGAGCTCTAAGAAATATTATGTGTGAATAGAGAGAAGCATGGAAAGATCTATATGAACAGATAAGGAGGGAAGCAAAGCCTAGAAAACAATATACACAGTAACTGCAAAAATGTGAATGGAAAGAACTACAACACACAAAAAAATCTGAAGCAAATGTAACAAAATTATAAAGATCAAGCAGGACTCAAAAGATACATGAGATGACACCTTCAACCCACCCCTTCGTGGAGGTGGAAGGTCCACATGTGTTACACACTGCACATGTTTTTGGATTTTTTTTTTTAATATCTCGATCAGTTGTGATTTTTTTTTCCTCTCTAAAAAATACTATTTGTTATATGGGATGGCTCTCTGGGAGCAGGAGGGGGATAGATAGTTGAGATAACTAGGATAATATAAGAAACAGATGATACCAATAAAAAATTTTAAAAAGAGGGACTTGAATTTTTTTTAAAAAGTGACTTAGTTGACTACATAATATTTCACATTTATATAGCACTAGACATGCCTTACACACTTTATTTTATTTGATCTTCACAACCTGTAAAGTAGGTAATAATCTTCATGTTACAGGTGGGGAAACTGAGGCACAGAAAGGCTACCTAGGTAATGAGAACCAGGGCTGCAAGTTGCACCCATTTCTTCATATTCTAAATCTAGTGCCCTTTCCTCTACTCTGTCCAGCTACCTCTGGGTGGATCATGCCGCTCTTTGAAAATGTCTAGATAAGGGCTTGAAATTGGCTCCCCTCACACAACCAGCTCTAAAAATGGGTAGCAGCATTAACTTTCTATCAGTGGAAAGCCCTCAGATAGGTTTCTGAAGATCATTCAACAGTATAATAAATGTATTATTATAATAAGTATTAAGCATTTACCATGTGCAAAGACTAAGCTAGGCTCAGAGAATTAAAAACAAAAATGCAATAGGCTGTCCTCCAGGTTACATTCTACTAGGGCATGCAATACAAACATATAAGCTCAAGAAAATTTAAGGAGTAAAAGTTAAAAATTAGGGAGGTGACATGAACTGAGCCTTGAAGAAGTGAAATTTTTTTTTAGGTAGGCAATGGGTTTAAGTGACTTGCCCATGGTCACACAGCAATAGTATTGAGTGTTATGTGTCTGAGACCGGATTTGAACTCAGTTCCTTCCGACTCCAAGGCTGGTGCTCTATCCACTGCACCACCTAGCTGCCCCAAGAAGCAAAACATTTTGAGAGCCAGAGGTGAGGAAGGAGTGAATTCTAGGCATAGGGGCCATGCTATGTAAAGCCATGGAGGCAGGAGATAGAATTCTAAGTTCAAGGGTTAGTAAGTAGGTCACATCGGCTGAAACGTAGTATGTAAGGTGAAGGGCATGAAACAAATCTCAAAAAATCGTCTGGAGTGACAATGAAAGATTTTAGATGCCAACCTGGAGAAGCTGTATTTTATCATAGGAACAAAAAGAAGCTATTGAAGTCTCGAGCAGAGGAGAGTGACACGATCAGATATGTTTGGCAGCTGTGTGGAATATGTGCTGAGAGCCAGCTACTGCAGTAGCCTAGGAAAGAAATGATGAAGACTTGAACAAGTAACGTAAGGCCTTGGGTGTAGAAAGAAGGGGACAGGTGAAAGAGCTACAGAAGTAGAATCTGGAAGATAACGGGAACTGATTATATATGGGATGATTAGGGACAGCGAAGGGTTAAGGATGTTGTTGCCAATTTGTGAGTGACTAGAAAGATGGTGGCACCTTGATAGAAATAAGGAAGTTTGAGAGAGAGTTTAGTTTCATCTTGGCCACATTGACTTGAGATGTCTATTAGACACTGAGGTGGAGATGTATAGAAAGCAGTTGGAGATGTAGGAGAGATTAAGGAAAGGTTGTTTTGGAAGTCATATGCATAGAAAGATAATTGAACTCAGGGGAGTTGCTGAGATCACCAGAAGAGGTATAAGGAGAAAAGAGGGCTCAGAGTCAGTCTTGGGACCAGCCATGGTTAAATGCTAAGAGATGGATTATGATGAAACTGAGGTGTAATTGGCAGGAAGGAAAACCAGAAGAGAGTATTGTTTGGGACTCCAAAGGAAGAAAATATCCAGCAAGAGGCAGTCCGAGTCGAGTACTAAAAGCTGGAGAGATCAAGAGAAAAAGAAAAGGCTACCATATTAAGCAACTAAGAAATCATTGGTAAGCACAAAGCAGTTTTGATTCATTTTCATACTTGACAGGTACATTCCCTCTTCCTCTCATACCAATTAGAGCTACAGAACATTTAGAATACAATTCTCTTATGCAGATAGCAAGTTCCTTGGAAAGTCATTATTCAGCCTCTTAGTTTCTCCATCTTCTCTTCTAGGCTTCAGGTCATTTCACTGTTCACCATTAAATTAGACATCTGTGGGGGCCTTTTATTTCTTTTTGGTTTCTTTTTTCAATTAACAAAAATATTTTTTCTCTCCCTCTTACTTTCCTCTACCACACCGGAAAAACAATAACCACAAACTTTTGTAACAAATACGCAGACAAGCAAAACTAATTCCAGCATGGACCGAACAAAAAGTCTCGGCCTGCACCCTGAGTTCATCACACCTGTTAGAGGGTGGTAGTATGTTTCATTACAGATCCTCTGCCATTGTGGTTGGTCACTGTGATCAAAGTTCTTAAGTCTTTCAAAGGTGTTGGTCTTTACAACGCTTTACTGCAAAAATTGTTCTACTGGTTTTGCTTACTTTACTGCATGAGGTTCATACACATCTTTGCAAGTTTCTCTGAAACCATACCCTTGATCATTTCTTATAATAGTATTCCATTACATTCATATACTATATTCAGCCACTCCCCAACTGATGGGCACTCCCCCTGCTTTTGTTTTCAGCCGAAAAAAAGCTGCTTCTGTGCTGCCTTTTCCACCTATGTTTTGAATAAATACAATTTTGTGAAATGACTGATACATTAAAGACTTTCCTAACAAGTTTGTCTGAAAGGGAAACTGCTTAATAATTCCCATACCTACCTTTAAAAAAGGACTTGTAAAAGAATTTCACAAACTTGCAGAATATACCTGAGAAGAAAATTTTTTCAGTTACCAACTAAACATGTTTTGAGTAAGAACTTACCTAACTCCTTTCCTTGAAAGATACAGGAAACTCAGATTTTTCCCCAAGTAAATTTTGTTTCTAATATCCTCCCTGTCTACCACATGCTTTTAGAACAATTGGGGAGCAAATGACTGCAAATTCTTTCCCCAAAAACTACAACAGGTTGGTTCTTTCACAGAAGAGATTCAAGTAGCTTCTCTTGCCAGTTTTCATTTGATAAAAAAAAGAGAACGCCAGCTTAGGACAATTTCATTTGCCTTTAATAGCTTGCCAGCTACTGACTTTACTACTCTATCATTTGCATAAATATTCCTCTACATAAGCAAGGCTCCATTGATATTGCTTACTGCAAGCGGATGGGCTCACAATAGTCATTAGCACACTGCAATCCATGTGGCACTACAAGGAGCTATTAGGAATGCATTTGTCAAGCACTTTCTTCATAGTGCTAGGAAGCTCAGGATCATTTCTGAGATGGCACTACACTTAACAGTTTGAGAAAAGACTGCTTATCCTGAAGAACAACAAATGTTACTAAACATTGCACTGTATACGCTGGAGTCAAGAAACCTGGGGTTTAAGACCTGCCTCCAAGTCACTGAGCCCTGAGCCCATTTTCTCAACTGTAAAAAGGGGACAGTTACACTAGCATTACCTATCTCAGTTTTGTGTACTTGTCAAAACATTAAACTGCTATAGAAATGAAAGTTTACTGGCCCCACTCTCGTTAAAAGGGAGATTTTCAGAGATATCCCAGGAAAATTATTCATCTGGTCTTAAGTATACTCTTTACTATTCTTTATTTGGTTCTTTTCACTTAATCACTGAATGCTATTTCTCAAAAATTTGTTTGGCTCTACAATAAGGCTGAAAACAAAATTATTTACAGGGAAGAGGAAACTATAGTTGATTGGAAAGGGCTCCTAATTGAGGAGTCTGGAGGTCTGGGTACATGTTGTGGCTGCATTGCCCAATAACCATGTAATCATGGTCATTAACTTCTTTCCATGCCAGTATTCTCTGAGGAAATCTGTGTGAAGTGCCACAGAAATGTAAGCTAACATTAATGGAATCAAATGAACCAAGTGACTTAACTGGTTATCAGCATTAGAGCTGGAAAGGACTTTAAAGATCATCTTAGTCAATCTCATTTTTCAGACTGTAAGTCAGTTAGAAATTCTCATCTCCCAACTCATTCCACCATACTACATGTACTGTTTTCTATCTGAATCTTCCCTAAATTATCATTCAAAGTGAGAGCTTCTAGCCTATTCTGGTCTCTAGAAAACAGGGTTTATTCTTTTTAAAGCCTACCTACATGGCAATATGGCATAATGGATCAAGAGCTGGCCTTGAAGACAGAAGGCTCCTGTCCCACCCCAGATAGATCCCTTGGCCTCTCAGTATTGTCTACAGCTATGACTAGGTGCAGGAAAGATGCTGACTTGCATCGGTAGAAGCAGTTTCCTTTGCTAGGCACTCCCTACAGCAGTATTTCATTCTTCCAAAAACTTTTCTCCAGGAAGCCCCTAGGCTCCACAAGCATTTATGCTAAACATGATTTTGCATATTTTTCAACTCTCCAGCTTATAATCTTGAGGGCAGTCTTATTTTCCTTTGGTCTACATCTTTAATCTAGTTAATATAATGCTATAAACACCCTATGAGCACTAAGATATGAAATACAAATAATGCAAGGCTTATTTCATGAATCTGCAAAAATGTATAGGTAAAGACAGAAGTCGAGATGGCCTCAGTTTGCTTTTGACTGTATTCACAAGTGTCTGAAGTTTTCCCACAAAATAATTCTATTTAACAACAAACAATAACAAAATTATAGAACCCAATTTCTGAAGGTTTAGATTGAACAGTTTAAATTTATAATTTTCCATCAATTCTGACATACTCTGGGTTTCAACTAGGAAAGGAAGATAGGTCACATGAGGATTAAACTGATTTGGAGAGATTATCCAATAGTAGCTTTTTTTTCTGATTATCCAATAGTATTCATGAACATGTCAAAATGGACACACCTCACACCTCTCTATTGTCACAAACTACTAGATGTTCAATCTTTCAAATTACATATATTCAGAAAGTACACAAATACTTGGTAATTGTAAAAGCATTAGCCACTTATATCAAAGCACTTCTAAATAAAAAGTCTCTTATTGATGCTATCAGTATTTTCATCAGTGAATAGTTTCCAACCAGCAGTTCGTAAAACTCTTAACATGTCCCCCTTTAAATTATACCTCATAGTTTCAGCAATACATGAATTAATCCTTAAAGGGAAATGCCCGGAGTTATTTGTCCTACTATTACAATTTCTTTAGAGTTCATTCTGGGTGCTACATCATCCACCCAGCTCCTATCTGTGAGGGAGCTGTTGTTTCCCTACGAGTGTGTGCCACTGCAATGATATACACACTCCTCAAGTGACCTGGATGGATACGATGAAAAACACACTTAAGGTTACTGCCACAGGTGCTTATAAAGGCACAGACCTACCATAAACACCAGGAGACTAATTTTCAATATCTTATTTTTGGGAGATGGACAGGAAATTAAGAACTCTCAAGTTCATCATATGGAAAGCCGTTTCCCATTTATCCTTAAACATCTTAGCATTAGCTTTCTGAAGCACTGTTGCCTTGTAATGACCGTGCAAACTTCATGTGCAATTAGCTTTTGTACAATATGGGGGATTTTTTTTCTCCCCACGAGAGCAATTTAGAAGACCCTGAAGTACGTATGGTTTTGGAGGAGAAAGAAATATAGATCTACATTAAAGGCTGGCATTAAATAAGCTAAAAAGCAATTCCTTTCCAAAACTTTGCCTTGATGAAAGAAAAAATCTGGTTCTTGATTTATCATTCTACTAGGAAGTAAATTCATAATTTTTAAAAAATTCATGCCAACAGTTTCAATTTCCCACCAAAATTGATTAGTGAGATCAAGAGTTTACCCAATCTCCTAGAGTAATTAATGAAATGACCTAAAGAGGCAAGTGATCGATCCTTCAATAATTAAGCATCAAAATGAAATCAAATAGCTCTGTATAGCAATTACTCTATTAAGAGTAATTAATATGCATATTCAGAACTGGTGTATGAAATTACTATGGATATTCAGTTAAAGAAGCACACATCTAACTTATATTTCCTGACAAACTATTGAGAGGATGCTATTATTCCCCTGAAATTGGAGAGATAAAACAAATACAAATGACTGGAGAGAGATACTTATGCATCAATCCCTCCTAGTCAGATAAGGAAATAAGTGACAAAGTCTCTTGCACTGAAGTTATGTATTTAACAGTTTTACATGTAATATTTATATATAAAAAACTTTTAAGTGCTTTTCTCCAATTTAAAAATCTAAAGAATTCAAAAATAAGGCATTCAATATTTGAAAAAAGTACAGATTTACAAAATGTGTATATTCTGTCATGAAAACTTCACACCAACATTATACACTTGGAAAAAAAATACAAACAGGATATATTACAAATTTATGTAGCAATAACTTAGTTCATACCATGCAATAAAAAGTACATTAATCAAGATACACAAGCTTTTAAAGGTTCTAAACTGAAGGGCTTTTTTTTCTTTTTTGCAGACACATTAGGTATGCAAATCCTTAAAACCTGTGGCACTTAAAATTTCTGGTAGCCTTTCTACTGAGAGGTAAATTATACACAACAATGATGATGAGGATGAACAGAGCAGTTGTCTATTATGAATCATTCCAGCTTTGTTCAACAATAGCTGAAACTCTTTTCTCATATTCTCGTTTGTTTTCCTGATAAAGCTGCGCTGCCTGGCTATTGGCAGGACTGTTGGGATTAGGTTCATCCAGCAGAGACTGAAAGAGAGAAGAAAGGAAAAGTATACCTCTTTAATACTTGAAACAGAGTACATGACAATGATAAAAACAACAGAAATCCTTCAGGAGGAGTAATCATTGATATTAGTGCAAGCTTTAGCTACCAAGCTACTTGACTCTAATAATGATAGTGTCCTGACAATGAACTTAACTTCAAAAGCAAATGACTATCAACTATCTTATGAGATCACATTTCAAAGACAATCAGAAAAGAACAGCATTCTCCAGGAACCAAGAGACAGTAAGCTAATTTGGCTGTTAAATATATGGTTATAATTTAGCAACCAGCATTGTAAAAACTCAGTCCAAAAGGTGTTACTTTTCCAACATCTGGCAGTGAATCTTTTTTCCCAACATCTGGCAGTGAATCTTTTTTCCCCTTCATATACCAAAATGTGTAGAACTGGTGAGGGAATAAAGTAGGTAGGGAAAAAACAATGCTGGAAATAAGTGTATGTGTGTATTGGAAAAGGAGAAAAAGTAGGGAGCTTCAAAGGGTATATTAAAATCCAAAGAACCACTACTACGTGCACACTTCCCCTCCTCCCCCGCTGCCAAATTAATTCCTCTCATTCTATTTCACTGATTCCAATTATTATCTACCATGCTGCTTTGATATCTAAGTTTCACTCAGGAGTGGGGAGGAGACCACAGTTTACCTATTAGGCAAATTTAATGTTGCTTTGCTCATATACTATTATCCCAAGATTCTTACTCTCTTCCCTAGCGCCCCTTAAATAAACGGAAGTCTACATTCTTCTAGTCAACAAGAATATCCTTTCTGGGATTCTTCACCAAGATTTCCTAACCATAGCAAAACCTGATTTACACTATTTCTAGCAAGAAAGACAAAGAGTTTACCTGAATTGATGTTAAAATAGAGGACACATCATACGTTGGACTCCAACGATTCTGGAGGATATCTAAACATATGCTACCATCGGCATAGACTGCAAATATAATACTGAAGTCAGTAACAGTTTACTTTGTTATACTTCAAGAATTCCCAGAAATCTTTCCCACACATAATAGAGCTCTGTGAAGCCCTCCAATGATTTTCCAAAAACTTCTCTGTTCCATAGGAAGATAACTTTAAAAAATAATATCACCAGGAAGAAGGGTTATTCTAATAAGATGTCAACAGGAGAGGGTTTGACTAGATAACTTTTAAGGCACTGTCCATCTCTAAGTCTGTGATCATTAAAACTATGTTAGTATTTCAAACTATGGAAATGGAGATAAAAAAAACCATGGCAGAAAATAGCTAATAGCACTAAAAGTGCTCCTTTGTGAAATGTGACAATTCAAAGGGCTTAAATCTACCCTCTTCAGTATTTGCAGTATCTGTTAAAGACAGTCACTTACCATTTGGATGAAACATCTTTGATAAGAACCTAACAGTGGGAGGTTTATTCGGATATTCTTCTGAGAATTCTATTACTAGTTTAAAGGTACCTAAGACAAAATAAAACAAAGTCAATAAAACAATCAGGACAATTATGAGCAATCAACTGGCACCTTTTAATTACCACACAAATATAAACGCCCTACTTTAGCACCATACTTAAGAGGTGGTGTTATCTATTAGTACTATTACTACTACTCATGGACACATTATATGCCTGTGATATGATTCTGAAATGGGAATAAGTTAGGACTGCCAACATAGACTCATTTATCTCTATTCCCTTTTATTATTCATTTAGAATAGTTGTTTTAGGCCTAAGTAGGCAAAATGCCCCTCTAGTTAAGGTAGGCAGCATGATATATTGGAAAAAGCAATGGATCTGAAGTCAGATAGCTTGGTTTACTTATCTGTGTGACCTTGGGCAAGATTCTTAATTTCTACGGGCCTCAGTTTCCTCATCTTTAAAATGAAGAGACTGAACTTGGATTGATGATCTCTAAGGCTCCTTCTAGCTCTGAATCTATGATCCTAACTAATGGCTGTATTTTTTTAGAAGGCAAAATGATGGTAGAAAGGAACTGTTTAGCTGCTCTATCACCTCATGGAAGGTGCTTAGAATGTTACTATTAAGTATACAAGTCACATATCAAACTACATAAGCAAAGGGAATATTCTGCATTTGTCTCTGGATTTCTTATGGAGGAAGCTTTGGCATAGTGGAGAGAGAGCATGCCTTTGAGCCAGGAAGACCAAAGTTCAAGTCATGCTTCTGAAACATATTGATCGGGTGACCCTATGGCAAGCAAGTTAGCTTTCGGGTGTTCTACAAAACTCTCTAAAACTGAATGTTACAGAGAGGGTGGCAGTCGGCATTGGTAGAGGAAGTTCCTTTTGTATTCCTAGAAACTAGAACAATGCTTTGTACATAATGAGCAATTTAAAAATATCTGTTAAAGTAAACTCAAGTTCACAAAAACAAGTCATTTTTTAACCACAGAAAATACTACCCAAATAACCACACCTAAAACCCCCCAATCTATGAACATCTATCTGCTTATTAGAGGGCATCCAACAAACTGGGAAATATTTCATAAAGTAAAAATCAATAAACTTTTAGTCCAGCTTTCATTGCCAAGGTCTAATGGACAAGCTTCAAGCTTCTTTCCTTACCTCTACTATTTAAAATATATATACACACAGAGAGAACACAAATACCTCACACCTATTTCTCAGGCTTATTCAAAAGTCAAATGAAATTTGGTTTTAATCTACCCTGACATTAGAGGCTCTTATTTAGGAAAGATTTTAGAAAGTCTTTACTACATTAAAATACTGGGAATTGTACCATGCTTAACAGCAAGGGATTTCCTTGTCTGTTTCCAATTTGGGATTTTTCTACATGCGTAAGTCACATCCAAAAATCAATCCCTTCAAATTTGCATCCAACAGGGTTGGCAATTTAAACAATATAAAGAAAATAAGTTCTATAAAGACAGGTATTTGAGATCTATGACTGCTCACTGCAAAAAAAAAAACCTACTACCCGTCTTACTAATAAATACTACACACACTTTTGATTGAGAAACCACATGACTGGGTTGATACAGGGCCATCTTTGCAGTCAAGAAGAACTGGGTTCAGATTCTGCTTTTGATCCACATTTGCTGTGCAACCACTGACAACAGTCACTTAACCCCTCACCAAATCCAGGCAACTCCACAAGACTGTTACAAACAGCTGTTGATCTGCAACAGTGGAAGGAGTTTCTACAAAGTAGGGTTCATGACACTGATGAAATCACACATCCAGATCGAGACACTGTATTTAAAAATTCTGATTGACGAATGTTAAATATTTGATCATTTTAAATAATTCAACTTAAGAAAAGATGTCATATTAAGGACAACCCCAAGAACTGACTTTTAAAAAATCAATTCAATGAGTTCAACTAAACGGTTATCAGTTAGTTTTGAATTCCTCTACTTCTCCGTGAAAATAATCCAATGTGTGTACAATAGAGAATACAAAATGTTTACTACCACTTAGGAGTGGGGAAAGTCGAGTGCTGTTGTAACTATTCTACATGAAGCTATCAGCAGCAATGTTTAAAAACAACTCCAGTTAAACACTATGCCAACACGGTCACAGCAGGCTAAAACTATGACCAACCTCCTGGACATCTCTAGTATGTTACAAACCATCTAAATATAAACTATTCTCAACATGGTCCCTGTCTCTAATATCCAATATCCAATATCCAACTGTCCCAGCAATAAACTAGGGCACTGAAGTTTATTCAAGCTCCAGAAGACAAAGTCGTTTGTGAGCTGTTAATTCCCAATAGCCTACAATTTTTTGTCTACTTTCAAACTGGCTTGCAACAGCAGGAAAAGGTTTTAAGCAGAAGGTATTAATATGCCAACTTGCTACTTAAAAGCATCCTCTTCATGTAGGAGATAGCAAAGAAAAGTTCACCAGGAGCACTTACCATCCTCAAAGGGTGTGCCTTCTGGCCTGAGAGATTAAAAAAAAAATATCTAATTAGCATATGCCCTTCAATATACTCTTGTAAGATGGGGACCAAAAACACTTCAAAACAACTTAAAATGACCCTAAGCCAATTTATCCTGGTTTCCAGAAGATTTAATATCTTCCAGCATTAGTGCAGCTAGGTGGAGAAGTAGATAGAGGTGTGGGCCTGGAGTCTCATGTTCCAGAGTTTAAATCTGGCCTCAGACACTTAATAGCCAAGTGACCTTGGACAAGTCATCTAACCCTGTTTGCCTCAGTTTCCTCATCTGTAAAATGGGTTGGAAAAGGAAATGGCAATCCACTGCAGTATCTTTACCAAGAAAGCCCCAAATGGGGTCATGAAGAGTTGGTCACAACTGAACAACAGCAAACCATTAGTCCTATGAGAAATGAGGCTAAGCTCAATGTGGATGTTATCACAGGTAAGCCATTTTACTGACTGCCATTCTTCTCTTGCCCCAAAACTTTTCCCTTCTTTTCATACCAATTTAACCTTTCCCAAGAGGTTTAAATACATAATATGTGCACAGTACATTAAAGATTTTAATACAAATAATTACTGAGGTAGGTTAAACGTAGGTTTATTCTTTCTTCCCTCTGAGATTATTCCCACTTACTTATTAAAAACAATGTGACTTTTAAAAACATACTCTGGAGCAAAAAGAATTTTTTGGGGGATCTTATTTTAAAAAGTTATTAACAATTAAATCTTTTTTAAAAGATCAAAAGGATCACTTCACAGTAATTTGAATTTAAAGCTTCTGGTGCCTATAACCACAACAAAACTAGGAAGAAAAGAAATGGAATAAAGAAAGAATGAAAATACAACAAAATTTGAAAGGCATATAGAATTCTAATGTAAAGAGAAAAAAAAATCAAGTTTACATTTTAACACATAGTTATTGAAGCCAAGAACTCACTTTCTACTTTTATTTATGTAGGCCTGTAGAGTATATTTGCATTTACTATACTGCCACATTAAGTGGTACCTTTTCCCCCTGCAGTAAGGCTGAAATACATTCTGGGTTGTACTTGTACCCAGACCAGTTTTTCCTTTACCATTCTACTGAATGCATAACTTTAACTGGTATGGTCTTACAAGGAAATAAAAGCATAATTAAATTTATGTAAAAGATCAAAAGCACAAGTGAAATAGTTCTTATAATCCCACTATAAAAATTCTAGTAGAAATTTCTTAACTTCTAGTTCTAGACATGGAGGATTTCAACTTCTTTCAAGAGAACTTAACTCTCAATACTACAAAACCTTCATGATTTCACTCATGTAGGTATTTCCTCAATAGATGCAGATCACAATTTTTCCATACCTTACTGGTCTTTATGGTTTAAAAAAAAAATCAGATGGTGACCAACAATCTAGTGATTGATTCCTCTGTACTTAGCTAGGTCCTTGTACCACCAACAGAAACTTTTTTAGTTTGATGGGACCTGTTCTAGCTTGCATTTTACTAGTGTAGCTTTTTAGAGCTGAAAATGAACTCTCTGTATACAATGTGGTTTTACGTAGAATATTTGCCAAATATTTTGCTTCAATGCTCAAAGGATGATGAGGCCTATCATTTGTTATCACCTGCTACTTACCCAAATATAACTGCATTCCACTGCATGATGTTGTTTTCAGATGGTGCGCCGCTGACACCCACAGGTGGGTCTTCTTGCAATCTAAGAATTAAAGAAATACAAGCAAAAAAGTTGACTATGGAATCCAATGAGGAAGGCCACCAAAGCACACAGGATCACTGTTCCATACAGTCTTCTAGAAACTCTAATCAATTTATGTTATTTTAAACTAGATGTATTTCCATGTCTTTGCTGATAGGACAAGGGCTCCTTTTCAACCCCTGAATGAAAAAATCTAGAGGTACCTAAACCTTGCTGCCTTTAAAAAGCTATAGAGCACTCCAGGTTCTCCAGAATTTTACAGGATTTAGGATCAATGATTTTCCCCTAGGTTATGTAAGATGGTGTTCTCTTAGGAACTTACCATGTAGCATTAACTGAACAGCTCAACTGCCAAGGTAATTCTGATCACTGGACCATATTATTTAGGGCTAGAAGCGACTGGCTTCAGATGTCATCCCTTCAACTGATGGTGAGAAAACTGAGGCCCAGAGAATTAAATATCTTGCCCAAGATCACGGAAAGCTGGGAGTAAAGCAGATATTCAAATCCAGGTCCTGACTCCAAATCCAGTACTTTTGCCATTACAACACCCTATTTTCATTGTCCCTTCATTTCTATATCCCTTCACAAGCTATATGACAATATACATTTTAATCATGACCCTTGCTACCTTGCAACATGGAGGACAGAATGTAATTACAATTATAAATAGCTCAACTATGCCTACTGAAGGCAGCTAGGTAGCACAATGGCGTCTCGAAGATTTGAATTCAATATTCAGCCTCAGATACTTACTGGCTGTGTGACCCTGGGCAAGCCACTTAATGTCTGGTCTATCTCTGTTTCCTCAACTGTAAAATAATGAAAACACTTACTTCCCAGGGTTGTTGTGAGGATCAAATATTTGGAAAATGTTTAGCATAATACCTGGCACAAGTATGAAGAAATGCTACTTATTATTATTATTATTAGTATTAGTAGTAGTAGTAGTAGTATACCAATCTACTACTAAATAAACATCTTTTTTTTTTATTCCGTTTATTTCAGGAGAAGGTAACATCAATTTACTTGGGATTGTGATGGAAATTAGGGTCATCTAATCCTGAGGTATCAAATGTGCTACCCACAACACACCTCAGCTGGATCCAAATTAAAATGTAACTGGGAATTATTTAACAAAATAAATGAAAAGAAAACATAGACAATATTACATTTTTAAACTAAGTAGATATGCAGCCCACAGGGAACCTTCCAAAACTAAGGACTGGTGAGTCCCCTTTCCATTTGAGTTTGACATCACTGATCTAGTCCAAGCTCCTCATTTCACAGATAAGGAAGCTGAAGCTCAGAAAGGTTGGGTAACTAAGACTAACTATGATCACACACAGGTTGTAAGCAGAAACTTCTTTCCATTACACTCTAAGGAGTGTGCTTAGTTAAGATATAATGAAGATGGCAAAGCATATAGGAATAACTTTCAAAAATCAGCTAGATCCCTTTTATTGTCATTTACCTTTTCTTCAAAGCTCCAGATTCAACAATTATATAAGCTGTATCTTAAAAGGCAGTGACAAAACACCAAGGGTCTGGAGAGTGAATGTGTCAGGGCTAGACTAATAACCAGATAGATAACCTTCCTCAGGGTCAAGTTCACTCAGCATTCAGCTGAGCCTCGATTCTCGTGGTTTACTGGCTGCCAGACTCCTAAATCTAATTAGGCAGGAACCAGACTGAGGTTGCAAGTACAAGAAAGCCACATAACCACATTAGAAGAAAGGGTAACAATGCTTTTTCTCCAAATTTCACCTCATAGTTTTCATAACTGAAAGGCTATTTTGTACATAATGGTGAAGGATAGAGTTGTAAATAGTAAATACTAGTCTCTTATACTAGTGATGACTTTGTGACCACTATGATTCTAAACAAAACTATGACACAAAAATGACAATAAATAGAATGGCTGATGTTCATAGGGCTTTATGAATTACTAATCAGTTCATATGCCCGGATCTCATTTGATCCCTTAAAAGTACAGGGCGAGTAAAGTAATACAACTACCATTAACTCACAATTAGTAGATGGGGAAACTGAGGCCCAAAGAAATTAAGTGCCTCATCCAGGGTCAAGCAGCTAATTAATTAGGTGGCTGAGTCTAGTAAAAGGGTTCTAAACACACAGTGTTTAAAGTGTAGATTCAACTGCTCAGCAAGGTGTGGTAAGTCTTTTATAAGAGTGAGGTTCCGGAAGAAGCAAGTGGAAGTTCAGAACAATGAAGGTACCCTGGGATATCAATGTCTGTGAACAACAGCGACCAATGGACAACAAGGACAGCACAATTTACAGGAAGCCAAAGTTTTCATATGCAAGTAGTGCATATTTATTTCCCTTTTATAATTGACACCCTGCAATTCACTACTCTCTCCTTAGGGATAAACATCATAGGCTCTTAAGCATGTTCAGTAGACTGTCAACAAGCAAAGTTGCAGGACTGATATATCTTCCATAATTGCCATAACTTCTTGCTAGCTAACCCCAGCATGCTTCTAAAGGTACAGAAATTTTTTTAGCATTTAGAAATGTAGCACATAAAAAGTTTTGTTGCCAGAATTAAGCTGTATCCAAAGCAAAATTTAAAAAATAAAATGAGCTGTACCTGGAACCCCAATTGGAAACCTATTACTTAGGTAATTCTCAGAAAAACCAACCAATGAAATATCTGAGTCATAAAATAGTGTTTTAAAGACAGTGTTCTTAAAAAAAAAATCAAAAGCTGAGTACATTATACATGTGACCCTCCTAATTTTTCTTGAAAAATCCTTCAAGTGTCTTACCTTACAATATGGAGTTAACCTTTGTCTCTTTTTCAGGTAACCCTCTTTTAAAGGCTTCAATACAGAGCTATAAAGTTTTACATGCAAAGTATCATTGTAAACTATACAATACTTTGCGCATAAGCATTTTATCTTCATACTGATTTTTTTTCTTTTTGGTAAACGGGTTCAAGCACACTGCATTTAAGCAGAATTATACTGGGGAAAAGGCATCCATAACAGCTCAGTCTGAATTAACATATATCATACTTAAGGAAAAAGATCTCTCAAGCATACCTGAGAACTTAAAAGGGTGTGGTGAAAGCACTCTAATTTTTAACTAACCAAAAACTTTGTAGTAAACAAGCAGGTTTCCCCAGAACAAAGAAGTCATCCCAAATATTTCTCTTTAAGCAAAAAAAAAAAAGTTGAGGAAAAGATAGGTTCAGTAAGAAATTTCCTCACCACTTTATATTCCTAAGTATCTTCCAAAGTGTTTGTAAAGGTAAGTAAATGACTTTTAAAAAAAACAACTATTTTGTCAAAATCCCATCCTTCTCAACAGATAAAAATCCTAAAATCAAATCTAAATGCACCACAGGAAACCCAGGTGCTCGTCTTATCACTTTCAGTACTGGCGAGAAAGGCATTTCTTCAAACCTTAAGAGTTACTAGTTCAAAGGTTTATCCAACATGTCTCCTGGTAACTAAAAAGGATATCTGGAGAGAATGAATTGATCCCCACCAGACCCCTAACTAGCTCTTACAAGGACTGGAACCAGAGGTTTGGGTTGGCTCAGCACCCAGCAAGGTTGTTTTTGTTTTTGCTTTTTTCCCGGGGGGGGAAGAGGGGGAGGGAAAAGGGGGGGAAGATGAGGGGAGGTAGAGGATTAGCTTCCACCAACTTCTCCACTCTCACGGAAGGGACAGGGGTTACTAAAGGCCTAGCCCCAACCCCGGAGAAGGGGTGTGGGATTCAACTAGAAAAACACAGAATTAAGATTCCGGCTGGGGGAAGGGGAGCATCCTCCAGTGCAAAGGACACCCCGCTAGGGCATACAAAAATGAACGAAACAGAGGATTGAGGTGGGGGAAGGAAGGAAAATAACCCCCTCTTCTCCAAACCTGGGGGTGTCACCCGACAGTCGCCTCATCCTCATTAAAATAACAAATGAAACCCAGGAAGGCAAAGAAATCAGCTCCTTCCCCTTCCCCCCGCCCCGGCTCCAAACTCGGGGGTGTCCGATCGCCTTCCTCTATTACAAAAACAAATAAGGCTGAGGCAGGCCCTCCGTTCCCCAAACACTGGGGTGTCGGACGCCCCCTTCTACTGATGGGGACGGGGAGCTGCGCGAAGCTAGAGGCCTATGCAGTCCCCTACCTACACCCCCACCCCTGTTTTCACCCAGGAAAGAGAAGAGAAAATTGGAATTCCCTTGGCCCGGAACTAAAGGTCGACAGAGTGCAGCGAGCTCCGGTCAGAAGCCGCCTCAAACCCGGGCCCTACCCCTAGCCCCAAACCGGGATCTAAGAGAGGACAGGCCGCGTCGCGGAGCTAAAAGGAAAGTGCCCTGCGGCCTGGCCTCGCCGGGATTGGTCTCCAGTCTCCTCTTCTGCCGAAAGGCTTCGGGGAAGGGAGGAAGACAGCCGGAAAATAGAACAGGGACATCTGCTGGGGGCAGTTACCGCTTGAAGTCCCGCATGAGCCTCCTCCTGGCCGGGGTCGACATGATTCCCCCGCTCCCCCGCGGTCTGTGTGAGAGAAAAGAGTCCCGAGCTCCCCACCCCCCACCCCCCCTGCCGTAGCACTCAGGAGCACCGCCACCACCAAAGCTTCACAAACAACCTGCAATGACTTCTTCTGCCGCTGCACAAAAGATCCCTCCGCCCTCCGCCTGTACCACTATGGCGACTTTGTAGGAGGGGGAGGAAAGGGAGGAGTCTGAATGAATTCTAATCCTTCATCAGAAAAATATCGAGTTTTTGACTGTAGCACTATTGTTCAATGCAATATGCCTTATATTCGCCTAATTTCCATTGCGTAGTGAGTAACTGAAACCGTATCACAACCAAACCTCTGCTAGTTCCCCCTTGATACAATCTTAGACTCGTCCAAGTGGGGAGGAGTCGGAGATGCGGGAGGGAGTGATGCAGCCAGCTCCTGAGATTTCAGGCTAGAGGAAGGACCATTACGTCAGATCACGTGACACTCGGTGATGCTGTCAACAATTCAGGTGGGGGGGGAGGGAACTAGACCACGTGGCCCTGTGACGCAGGCAGAACTGTTTTCTGAGAAGGGACTGGAACCGTGAAGTTGCGAGGAGAGTTTGTCCGGTTCTCTGGTGACGGAAGGATTTTCTCTTTAGGGCCCAATCTGCTTAGTCACCCCACCACCAGGAACCACGGCTGTTGTTCGCTGCCAGTCAGGAGATAGCAGACAGGTGGGAACGAAGGCTTGCATTTCTTTTTGCCTTCTTCCTTTGAGGCGTGGGGGCTTGGTGGTCGCGGGCACTCCCTCTCCTGGCGCACGTCGCAGCCCCTCTCGTTCTTGGAGGGTCTTTGTGAGGTCCTGTGGCCGGACAGCTCTCTGCCTGTGGCCACCTTGGTGATCGAGGCTCCAAATTTAACTAAGTTGGTTAGTTTTCAGAAGACAGGCACAGGGGGCTTGTTTAAAATCTTTTAAATTGTGCCGATATGATTTACGGCTTAAATTCCTCCCACCCCCCACCCAAAAAAACCAGGCCAGAACAAAAACACTTTTCTCAAGCTGTGGAAATGTTACTTCGAGGTATCGATGTAGGGCAGTAGGAGAGAGTTTTTATTGATGGGCAACAATGAATGGTGACTGCCTCCCTTCCCCTGTACAGAGGAATAAAAATGGCCAAATGTGTATAGACATCTCCCTTTCTGTACTTCACTGAGGTTACTCTAGAGCTGGAAACCCCAGGAAAGGGTGTGTGTGCGTGTGTGTGTTTTCAAAATTATATTAGAATTTTTTTTTTTGGCAGTTGGGGTTAAGTGACTTTCCCAGGGTCACACAGCTAGAGGCTGGATTTGAAGTCTGGTCCTCCTGACTTCAAGGCCGGTGCTCTAGCCACTGCGCCACCTAGCTGCCCCAAAATTATATTCGAATTTCAGGAAAATTATATTGGAATTTCATTTTTTCTTGAATGAGCTCTATTTCATTTGAGGATTTGTATCAGAATTTGTGGATTTTGTCTGTATTTCGCAGGGATCTTAGTTACCTTTACATCTGTTCCAGCACCTAGCATGTGCCTTGCACATAGTACTTATTAATAAGCATATCTTTTTTTAGTAGGGGGTTGACAAGTTCAGAGGTAAGTTGTAGGATTGTGAATTTGGCAGCTCTGTTGAGAGTGGATTGAAAGAAGGGAGAGATTGTTAAAGAAGCTATTATAATAATCCAAACAAAAAGTGATGAGGGCTTGAACTAGGGCAGAGGCTGTATGAGTCAAGGGAAAAGGATGGATATGAGAGACTTGGGGCAGTAGGAATGACAAGACTTAGCAACTAACTGGACATGGGGATTAAGAGAGAAGAGTCGAAGACAACCTCCAGACAGTGAACCTGAGTGACTGTAACAATAGTAGTGCTATCAGTAGAAACAGGGAAATTGAGGCATCATGTTATAGTTAAAAGAGTGCTGGGTTTGGAATCAGATGAGGGTACAAATCCTGGACTTGGACAAGACATTAACCTCTCTGTGCCTTATTTTCCACACTCACAAAAAAAAAAGAACAAAATGCAACCTTATAGACACCTTGAGGAAGATTTCCCATGCTTGAGTTAAGATCATAGTAAATTTCTTGAGATAGATGTAATGGAAAAAAAAAGCCAAACACTTTGTTCAAAGATCTTCTAATTATTAGTATGCTAAGTCATAAAGTGAGGCATAAAACATGTTTGCTATTGTGTATGCCATGGTTATGGACCATGCCTCCCATAGACTCCACATAGAAGAGGCACTGTTTGTATATAAGGTCTTCCAGATGTTCCTGTTTATAGACAAAACAGTGCTGATCATATCAAGCCCTATAATACTACTTTCTCCTTAATGAGATCCACAGCTACTCAAAAGAATTCAACCTGTGCTAAGACATCTAAGACGCAGAAGCTAGGGTCAAGGATAAAGCTGGTAGGAGAGGAATAGCAGCTGTCCAAGGATAGGACTTTGTATTCTTCATAGTTATAAGTTATCTATAGATCAGGCCTTACTGTATACAAGTGGAGACAAAAAGAATCTCAGAGCAGAGACACAGAGAGCACTCCCTTTGGGAGAAGCCATATTCTCCAGAAGGCAACAAGGCTGCCAAATCGGTAGCCAGCGAAATCCCATGGCAAATTGAGGTTCTCAGAATAGAATCAGTGTGAGACTAGGGCAGCAGAGGAGTCTGTTACCCAGCATTTGGACCAGGCTTATGCAGAACTGTGTTCAAGATAGAATGAATATGATCACCCTCACATTTTAAACATGTCATAAATGTTCTGTAATAACTATGCAAATCACCAATAATTCAACAAACATTTATTAAGGGTCTGTATGAGCACTTGTATTAGACAGTGACTGGTGGGAATACAAAGTATAGATGAGGAAGACAGAGCCAAGATGGTGGAATAGTGGAAGGAAGTACAGTGAGCTTCCCCCCAAAATTCCTCCAAACATATAGAAAAGGTACCATACTGAATACTGATGGAGAAATCCAAGGAAAAAAAATCACAGTGACTAATTTTTCTGGCCCAGGTTGGCACAGATAAACTGACAGGTCTGTAAACACTAGGAACAGGGTTTGGCCAGGAGCATGTGGTCATCTGGAGCACTGAAGTACCCAGAGAGAGGCTGAGCATTAGGGCAAGAAGGGGTCTAAAATCATAACAGGCCACCAAAAGGGAGCTGGTGCTAACTGGCAGCTATGTCATCCGATACCCATTTCCAGGTCACAGATACAGAGTAGACTGATTTGTGTCTAGGGCTGGTGTTGCAGGGCAGGTAGCAGCCAACGTCTCTAGGTGCTGTACTAACAAGTTCAGAAGCAAGCAAGAACTGTCTGTCAGGAGCAGAGCAGGGTTTTACTTTCAGCATCTGGTCCATTCTGCAGCAAAATAACCAGGGCAGGAATCCCTGACCAAAGGGAATCCTATAATTCTGTCACTGAACCAGCAGAGCTTCCCAGCTGCCTGACAGGAGGTGAGTCCAGCAGTAGTCTATTGTTGTTCTGACCCAAACACAAGTCAGGAACTTGCAGAGCTCAGACGGGAAGGGCAGTGATTAGAATTTGCCTCAGATCAGACAACTTTGAGAGGAATGAAAGCTTGCAGTTTACCAATCTGAGCTGTCCCTGAGATCCTGAAATAAAACAATGCTAGATACCTCCAATAAGCAGGACCATCCCTGACCTTCCTTCCAGTAGCACACAGAGTCCAGCTCTAACATCAAGTCTGAAAGCAGGAAGTAAGCTGAAAGACTGAACAAACAAACAAAAATCCTACTACAAAAAGCTGTTGTGGTGACAAAGACATTTGAGGCACAAACTCAGAAGAAGAGAATGACTTCAAAACCTCTACAAGCAAATACTCAAAGAAATACATGGCCTGGGCACAAATTCAACTAGAATTCCTAGAGGAGATGAAGCAAGCATTTTTAAAAGTTTAAAATGTGTGTGTGCTCATATACAAAAATATTTATAGCAGCTCTTTTTGTGGTGGCAAAGAATTGGAAATCGAGGGGATGCCCATCAATTGGGGAATGGCTGAACAAGTTGTGGTATGTGAATGTAATGGAATACTATTGTTACATAAGAAAGGATGAGCAGGTGGACTTCAGAAAAACCTGGAAAGACATGAACAGATGCTGAGTGAAGTGAGGAGAACATTGTACAGAGTAACAGCAACAATGTGAGATGCCCAACTTTGATAGACTTAGCTCTTCTCAGCAATATAATAATCTAAGATAATTCTAAAAGACTCAAAATGGCACATGCTGTCCACATCTAGAGAAAGAACTATAGAGTCTGAATGCAAATCAAAGCATACTATTTTCTTTTTTTTGTTTGTTTTTTCTTTCTTGTGGTTTTTCCTTTCTGTTCTGATTCTTCTTTTACAATGACTAATATGGAAATATGTTTACTATGATTGTACATATACAGCCTTTATCAGATTGCATGCCATCTTTTATGTCTTAGGGAGGGGGGAAATTTTAGAACTCAAAATTTTATAAAAGTGAATGTTAAAAACAATAAATAAAATTTTAAAAAGAAAATATTTAAGAAAATAAAAAAATACAATGAAACAAAAAATAAAAATGTGTGTTTAATAAATGAGAGGCCTAGAGGGAAAAAAAATGGAAAGAAATGAGAGGTATTGAAGAAATAACAGTTTGTTACAAGAGGTGCAGGATCTTGCTCAAGCAACAAATTCTCTGAGATTTAGAATGGACTAAATGGAAGCCAGTAAGTCTATAAGATAATAAGAAATATTAAAACAAAGTCTAATGACCAAAAGATAGAAGAAAATATGTTTTCTCATGATAAAAACAACTTGATCTAGAAAACATCAAGGAGAAAAAAAATTATTGGAGGTATCAAGCATTGTTTTATTTCAGGATCTCAGGGACAGCTCAGATTGGTAAACTGCAGTTTAAGGTAATCGTTGGAGTACCTTAAAGCCATGTCCAAAATAGAGCTTAGATATCAATAAGAGTTTCAGGAAATCTTGGTTTTAAAAAATTCGGTTTTATCATCAGTTCTGAATTCTGTCCCTCCAG